CACAACTAGGATTGAAACGTCTCTGGACCCAGTGAGGCCAGATCATATACAGGATGGCATATAATTATGGGGAACAAAAGTGATTGTCCCAAGCAAAGGTTACCGCTAGATACTGGCTGAACTTCACCAGGGGCATCCAGGGGTTTCCAAAATGAAGATGTTGGCAAGAGGTTATGACTGGTGGCCAGGATTGGATGCCAATATAGCTGCATTGGTGCGGCAATGCCCAGAGTGCCAACAAGGACAAAATTGCCCCTGGCGACACCCCTACATTTGTGGGAATGGCTTGGTGAACCTTGGATTCAGTTATGTGTTGACAATGCTGGCCCTTTCATGGACTTAATGTTCCTGGTCATTGTGGATGCCCATTCAAAGTGGTTGGACGTGCATAGAATTAATTCAGCAAACTCAGGGATGACAATTGAAAAGCTGCGAGCATCATTTGCAATACAAGCACTCCCAGAATTCATTGTCATTTACCAGCAGGGAATTCAAGTATTTCCTAATGTCAAATGGCACTTGGCATGTTTGGACAACTCCAGACCATCCATTGTTCAGTCGTCTGGCGGAAAGAGTGGGCCAAACTTTGAAGGCAGGCTTAAAGAAGTAGCCTACAGCTTCATTCGATACCAATCTGTCCCGGTTCCTGTTTGATAATAGGACCAGCCCTTGCGCAACTACAGGGATGGCTCCAGCAGAGTTATTGATGGGGAGAAGACTCCGCACCAGATTAAATATGATATTCCCAGACCTAGGGGCAAATGTGAAACAGCAGCAGAAACCTGCCAATGCTGGCCATGTGCTTCCTCTAAGCAAGAGAGACAGTTTACTACAGGGATGATGTTTAGTGCTGGAACCCAGGGTTATGAGGCGAGGTCAGGTCCCGTGACATACAAATTTCCGGTGAGTGAGGCAGTCCTGAACAAAATGTGGATCACCTGAAAGCTGCAGCCTCACAGATGGGGCAGGAGGAAAACATACCTGGTTCCTCATAACAGCCAGAAGGCCTGTTGGAAACCTTGGATTCTCCCCCTCCATCTAGTGTCAAGGAAACCTCCAGAGTCTGAGACGGATGAGGCCTTAATATTGTTACTGCTGGAAGAAGAGGAGGAAACTCTACCGAGATGCTCCGGATGCAAGGGACAGACTATGATCTGGTACACACCACCCGTATCAAAGAAACCAGACCTGAGGCAAAAACATTGAAGGAGAAGCTACCTGAGAAAGCCCAGGCCTACATCCCTGAGATGGGGGTGGGGGTGGGGGTGATGGTGGGAGGTGGTGGAGGGAGAAAAAGAAACAAAGAGAGAATATAATGATTGGAACCAGTTGGATCTAATTTACTGAGATCCTTAATTGGGTTGTTAACCTTGGCCAATCAGGGAGCCCTGGCTAACAAACAAACTGGGGATTCCCTTCTTCCTGGTTTTGTCACAAACATACAGAGAACACTAGTTCTCTTCTTCTGGGACAAAAAATTACATAGGGTCACAGCACAGGTTCTGAGTCTCCCTCTTGAGGAGGGTGGTCAGTTGCTGGTGTGTGTCTGCACCCAGGTGGTGATTCTAACATCGAGCTGCCTCCTAGGTGGTGCACCCTGGCAATGTAATTTGTCCACCAGGTGCATAACCTCAATTACGACACCCAGCTCCTGTTCGTTGGCTGCAAGGGTTTGCAGGTAGCCCTCAGTCTGCTGCCTGTCTTTTACCAGGACCGGATCACTATCTGGGATATTGTCCACTCACGTTGTGCCCATCCATCGTCAGGAGTAGCGGGTATTATCAGAGAGCATTGCTCAGGAATCTGCACCTCTGTAATTGCAGGTTTGTGTGGCTGGTGGGAGGGCCATGGCTGCGGTGTCACCAGAGTCAGGGATGAGCTGGGTGGCGGGCGCCTGGGCTGGATGCTACTGCAGGAATTTGCAGATAGGGTGGTGGTAGACATCCGATTCATGACCAATGCCATCCAGTGCCTTAAAATGGCTGTGCTTGGACCCAACATCATGCACCATTTGGAGGATACTCAAGTGTGTGGTGGAATCCTGTCTGCACATACCTCTGCCCAGACAGAATTTCATGTTGACCCCAGATCCCGTATTTCCCCTGGTCACCTGTGTCCCATAACCTGAACCGCCTCCAAAATATATGTTGCACTTCCTTCAGGAAAGTTAACCAATCAGCTCTGTACAGACTGCTGCTGCACATCATCCACCTTTTCTCTTTCATCCACTGCCCAGACACTCCTTGGCGTGCCCGTTTACCGTCGGGTGATGCAGATCCCCAGTGGAAGGCTATCTATGATGGAGTCATAACTCTTTCCCTCAGGAATCTGGGGTGGAGGGTGTTGCACACAGCAGTCCCCTGTAACCACAGATTGCAGTGGTTCACGAATTCTCAGTCTAACTGTTTGGTTTGTGGTGCTGTGCAGTCTGTGGGCCACGTGTTCATTGGTTGTGGGCATTTGCACTCCCCCTTTTAGGTACCTGAAGGACCTTGTGCTCTGTTTTTGGTTGCACTTCAGCCCCACATTCCTGATCATCGGGCACCCAGTGTGGAAAGGTCCTCATAGGTCTGCTCCTGGGCTTGGTCAAGCTAGCTATAAAGAGGTCAAGGCAGTGGACATTGGAGGGGGTCACTTCTGCAGACTACCTTCCCCTCTTCAGTCGTTACATTTGAGCTTGAGTGTCCTTGGAGATGGAGCACATGGTGTCCACCAATGCTCTCAATGTCTTTTGAGAAAGGTGGGCACTGCAGTGGGGTTGGGCTGTTTTATTTCCCCCTCCAACTCTATTTTGATTTAATCCCTACCCTCCCCCTTCACTTTTTTTTTACGCACGCATTGCCCTTAAGGCTTTGCTTGTTCCTGGTTCCCTGGCCACATGGGTGTTTTCCTGGTGATGTAAAGACTGAATAAAGTCTTTCACACATGGTGTCTTCACTGAGTCCCTGCACTTACATACACACAACATGGATGCTGTGGGAGGGGGATAGGTTAAAAATAAAACAGCCAATTCAGAGTCTCCTCACTTCAGGGACTGCCAGTGTAGGGTGCACCTGTAAATAAAGGGTGGCTTAGGGATGGGATACCAGCCTCTGTGCTGTTATTTCATTCAGGTAGGTATGACTGTCCTGAATAAGGATGTGGAGCATTTGAAAGCTGCAAATTCACAGATTGAGTGGAAACAATATCTGGTCTGCCCCTGGGAGCCTTCATAAATACTTCAGGGACCGACTGATTCATCCTTTCTGTCAAACATTATCAAGTCCTCTGAATCAGAGATACACATGAAAGAAGTACCACCTTGATATTTCTGCCTCCAGAAGGGAGTGGAAGTCTGCCGAGGCACTCCAGGCACAAGAGGCAAGCTCCCATTTGTTACAGGCTTCCTATGTTGGATTCCGAGTTGGAGGAACCTGACCTGGTGTTAAAATGCCCCAGGAAGTTCTCAAAGGAATCAGACCACGCCATGTCTGCAGACACAAAGTCAGAGGAATGTAGTGATTGGAACATGGTCAGCCAGCTTGACGTCATAAAATACGAGTTCCCTGATTGGATCACATTAACAGCCCCAATCAGGGAGAGCTGGCAGACAAAGGAGGACGAATGTCAGGGTTATTAGGTCCTGAATACCTGACTCAGTGAGAGGCAGTACTATAGTCATTGGCTATGCATTTGTAAATAAAGAGTGACTGGTATTGGGATGCTGGCCTCTGAGGAGTTATTTCAATTTTGTGTTTAAATTTGTTAACTATGGAGAATTTGTTAGTCAGAGACTGTAACATTCAGGTCAGGATATTCCATTACTTTGATTCTACCAGGAATTAAGGGAAGGGTGCTCTCAGAGTACCAGCATAATAATAAGGAATAAGAGTAGGCCATTAGGTCTATCAAGCCTGCTCTGCCAATCAATAAGGTCAGATTTTGATCTCAAATCTAGTCCTGCTTATCCTAAATCTTTCATCCCCTCGGTAATCAAGAATTTATCCACCTCTGTCTTAAAAATATTTGAAGATTTTACATCAACTGCCTTTAGAGGAAGGAAATTCAAAGACTCTCAGCCTTCACAGAAAGTAAAAACTATTTCTCTTCTTGGTTTTAAATGGACATCCCTTCTCTTTAAATTAGGACACCTAGTTCTAGAATCTCCCACAAGAGGAAACATTCCTTCGATATCTACCTGGTCAAGTTTCATTAAAATCTTATATGTTTAGTTTATGTCTCTTAAATAATTAATAGTTAATAATTAATTGACCTACGTTAATTAACACTCTTCTAAACTCCAGAGGATACAGGCTTAATCCATCTAGCCTTTCCTCATAAGGCAATCTGCTCATTCCCGGTATTATGCTACCAATGAGTTAACATCCTTCTGTAAGTACAGTGACTAGCACTGTCTACGGTATTCCAGATGTGATCTCACCAATTCTCCAAGTGAAACAGAACCTTCTTACGTTCATTGTACTAAACTTGCCAGATCTTTGCTTACTCAGTTAACCTCTTTAGATCCCTTTGTTGGCTCTTCAGAGCTTACTTTCCTACCTATCTTTGTCACGTCAATAAATCTGGCGATCATTCCTTCAGTCCCTTCATCCAAATCATTTGTATAATTATAAAGAGTTGAGGACCCAGTGCCAACCCCTCATAGATTATCATAGATTCCCTACAGTGTGGAAACAGGCCCTTTGGCCCAACAAGTCCACACTGACCCTCAGACATCCCACCTAGACCCCTCCCCCTATAACCCACCAAATCTACATATCCCTGAACACTAAAGGCAATTTAGCACAGCCAATCCACCTAACCTGCACATCTTTGGACTGTGGGAGGAAACCCATGCAGACATGGGGAGATTGTGCAAACTCCACACAGTCACCCGAGGGTGGAATAGAACCTGGGTCCCTGGCGCTGTGAGGCAGCAGTGCTAACCACTGACCAACCATGCCACTCCTATTTTTATATGTTACTCAAAACAGTTCAGTCACAGAACAGCAGTTCAAAAATCAGTTTTCACTCCGTTTTTTTATTAGACAATTAGATATGGCAATAAGGAGTCGAAGTTCAGTGCAACCAAGAGATTGGAGCTTGACCGCTCTGTGGACCCTGTGTGCAAGTTATTGTGCTGCTGTCTCTGAAGGAAAGGAGCTGCTGGATGGTAAACAGTCAGTGGGGCATTCGAAGTTTGAGTTTTGTTTGCTTGATAACTATTTGCAGGCTAAAGAAGTCCCTAACTAGATCATAACATAAATTTAGTAAATGACATAATAACAATCCACAAGCATAACATTTTTTTACTGTTTCATCTCACTTTGCATTTCTCTCTTAAAAGAATCTTCAAAAACGTGCCCTAGTCTTTGAATGTCTTTAACGACTTTTTTTTGAAAACCAGTGTTGTGAGAGCATCATCCACTGGGAACAAAAACATTTGCAATGACTTCTTGTGTTCAGATGTTTGGTCACAAAGCGGACCTTCATTTGTTTCGTCTTGATATGACAACCCAACATACACAGCACGTTAACATTGTGCCATTCATTGAATAATTGTGATGTACCATGGTCCCATTATTAGACACAACAAAAATAGTAAGTGGCATTTATTGTGCAAATTTCATTAATGCAGTTTTGGGATTATTGTAAAACAGGAGGGTTACCTTTCTTATAAAATCAAAGAACAAAGTGAAATTGATTTAATGGTTACAAACTGCTATTAATGAATAACATTAGTTTTGTTAAACATATCGATTTAAACAATCATTTAAAACTGTCCTTTCCATAAAATAGATGTTTAAGCACAACCAGTCTGTCTTTAATCAATCCACGATAATCATATAAAGGCATATTGCCTCAGTTATTAAATACAGACATTTTTAAGAATCTTAAAATGTACTTCACCCTGGCTTTTTTCAAAATCTTGTTTGGATGGGAAAATCAGTGCAATAAAGCACCGCGTAAAGTAGGAGTGCTTATTAAAGTCAAAACAATGGCAGTTTGGTGAGACAATGATTCACCTTTTGAATTCTTTTTCCAGAGAATCTTTTATAAATTTCAGACTCCATTGGTAAAGGAAGGAATTTCTGCTTCCAGGTTTGCAAATGTTTAGATGATTAACATTCAAGGGAATAAAATCCCCAAATCCCAAGTCTGAAAAATGATTAAAAACTCAATGAATAATATGCAACACAAAATTATGCAGATTCTATCAAACTAATAGAACAGATAAAAAGGTATTTGTGGTGACAAATATGATATTCAACAAAGCCAACATCACTAGCTTCAGTAGGTACATGAGCTAGACACCCCAATACTGAGTCAATTAGATCAGGAAGGTGCATAGCCACCAATGCTTCCTTCTCCCAATGCTATCCTAAGGCTGGGTTCCAAGAGGTTACATACATGTGTATTTTAGAAGGGTTGTTTCTAACGTTCTTCACCTTTTCCAATGCATAAGCACTTCATGTCAGTTTTACAAGTCTCCAAGGTCTATGATTCAGGTTAAGAATTAACCGTGTGAACTCACACCCCATTAACTGTGGGGTTCCAACAGACTAAGTACCTTTTTTTCCAACTGAATTTAAAGTTACTGAAAATATAATGATAAACAGGAACAAACATTGTTAATTTTCTTAACTGTATAATTTACAACTGAATGGAACTAATAAACAGCAACTCAGTTATAAAAGTTCAGTTTATTCGGAACTTACATTCATTGTACTTGATTTTTGTTCATTCCACTCATTCTATTGAGTTTCATCAATGATTTGCACAAAATAAATGCCTTTACATTCAAAGATCAGTGTGTGCTTGGAAGAAAAGAAGGTTTATAAACTCTAACAAATTAGATCTCTGGGAACACTTCAAAAGTATTCGACTGGCTGTAACATAATTTGGACCATTCTGAGGTTGTGAATCATAGAATCATCATAGAATCTCTACAGTGTGGAAACAGACCCTTCGGCCCAACAAGACCCTCAGAGCATCCAACCCAGACCCATTCCCCATAACCCATCTAATCTTCATGTCCCTGAATACTACGGAAAATTTAGCATGGCCAATCCACCTAGCCTGCACATCTTTGGATTGTGGGAGGAAACTGGAGCACCCGGAGGAAACCCACACAGACATGGGGAGAATGCGCAAACTCCACACAGACAGTCGCCTGAGGGTGGAATTGAACCCGGGTCCCTGGCACTGTGAGGCTGCAGTGCTAACCACTGAGCCAAAATTCAAAGCGTTTCATGTGATATGCTGACTGCATATTTAAAACAGAGATGAAGAGAAATTACTTCTCAAAGAGTCATGAATCTGTGGAATTCACTACCTAGAGTGAGGTGGATGTTTGGACATTGAGTAAATTTGAGGAGGAGATACATTTTTAATTAGGAATGGGTTGGAGGGTCATTGAGGAGTGTGCAGAAAAGTGGAGTTGAGGCCGAGATGGGAACAACCATGATCGCATCAAATGGTGGAGCAGGCTCGAGAGTCTGAATTGCCTACTCCTGCTTCTTGTTCTTATGCATATGTTATCTGCAATCCTCTCTTGTGCTCAGAATGAGCTGAATTTTGCTATTGCAATCAGTAAAACACTGATGCACCACAACTATTATCGGTGCCAGAACACAAATTAGCATTATGTTCTAGAAATTACCACCAAAATGACCATTCCCGCTCTCAGAGGAACAGGTGAGTGGGTTTTAAGTTAAAAGAGCTAAACCTGATCAGAGTGCAATCTGCCATTTGTGGGAAACACCTATGGGACATGATGATCAGTTATTTTATTATGTCTTTAAAATATAAAAAAAACTAAAAGCTTTTATATAGTTTTAATCCAGGATTCTGAATATCTGAAGATGTATGGATTTCTAGGCTTCCTGTAACTTGCATGAAAAAACACAATGAGAAAACAGTGCAAATTGATGAGGCTGTCATTGGCAAGTCAGAAAGGTTTTAAATATTGCAATCTCACACCAGGGAAATAAGTGAGATCAGAAATAACTTGCATAACTGTTGCTCACAGGATTTGTTTTCGGGCTAATTACCAATATGTTGCCAGTCATTTCTACCATTGCATACTAGTACTTAGGAGTATAAGAGTTTCCCATGTGGTCACTGAAATTGGCAATGTCCTGGTGAAGACCTCTTGCCAAGGGAACCAGCCATATACATTGCCAAATACATTGACAATGCAGTCAACGGTACCACAGTTTTTAACTTCTTCGCCTTGCAGGAATCAGCAGATGATATACGTAGAATTGCATAAGCTATAGCCATCAAGTGCATTCCACATGGACCAAGCCACATTTGCAGACGTGGCATACACATGGACTTCTCAACTGATGAATCCAGTTACAATCAGTGCTTTGAGACAACAAGGTGCAGGGCTGGATGAACACAGCAGGCCAAGCAGCATCATAGGAGCAGAGAGGCTGACGTTTCGGGCCTAGACCCTTCATCAGAAAAGGGGGAGGGGAAGGGGGTTCCGAAATAAATAGGGAGAGAGTGGGAGGCGGATAGAAGACGGATAGAGGAGAGGATAAGTGGAGAGGAAACAAACAGGTCAAAGAAGCGGGGATGGAGCCAGTAAAGGTGAGTGTAGGTAGGGAGTTAGGAAGGGGATAGGTCAGTCCAGGGAGGACGGACAGGTCAAGGGGGTGGGATGAGGTTGGTCGGTAGGAGATGGAGGTGCGGCTTGAGGTGGGAGGAGGGGATAGGTGGGAGGAAGAACAGGTTAGGGAGGCAGGGACGAGCTGGACTGGTTTTGGGATGCGGTGGGGGGAGGGGAGATTTTGAAACTTGTGAAATCCACATTGATACCATTGGGCTGCAGGGTTCCCAAGCGGAATATGAGTTGCTGTTCCTGCAACCTTCGGGTGGCATCGTTGTGGCACCGCAGGAGGCCCAGGATGGACATGTCATCTGAGGAATGGGAGGGGGAGTTGAAATGGTTCGCGACTGGGAGGTGCAGTTGTTTATTGCGAACCGAGCGTAGGTGTTCTGCAAAGCGGTCCCCGAGCCTCCGCTTGGTTTCCCCGATGTAGAGGAAGCCACACCGGGTACAGCGGATGCAGTATACCACATTGGCAGATGTGCAGGTGAACATCTGCTTGATGTGCAGTGCTTTGCTGCTCAAAAGGTCCTGCAGGTACAGGCAGTAATTAACTATACATACATGGCAATCAAAGCATCCCCAGATTACCCTGCAACCTTCATCAACTGAACTGGCTTCCTTGAAATCAATGTTGAAATCATTTGCAAAGACTAAAAGATCATTCTGTCCATCTGTGCCGTGACACTTTCAATTCATGCCAATTAAGCTACTCTGAGAAGAGATAAGCAGATGCCTTCCTGGAAACAACAGCTACCCTCTTGGTGATGGCACCTGTGAGGAACCCAAAGAATGTTGTTGAGGAACACTGCAACCAGAGATGTAATAAATAAGCAAGAACTTAGGATGCTTAACGTAGTTTATGATCTCTAGGCAGATACGGGTACATCAGTCTTGACCAGTCAACGATAATGGTTTGCTGCACGTTCCATAAAAATGTACAGTAGTAAGGGTTTAAGCTCCAGTAATAGGAACGTACTGAGCATTCTGACTCTTCAAAGAAAGAAGGAAGCATGTGTTGCGATGAGGGCACCAGTAGCTATGTATACAGCTATTGGGGATGTCAAGGCAGCCTAATTCAGGCAAGCTTCACTTAAACTGAGACATCAGGTATACAAAATCTGAATCTACTGGACTTCCCCAGGTTTCAGCAAAAAACAGTGTCTCAATCATAAATTTATCACTATCACTTGCACCTGTTAGTCATGCAATGCTTTACAAGACAGATGACGACTGATCGAGGCAATCAAAAATCGGGAAGTGACAAGGCAACTCAAATTTTATTTTCGACAGTGCTGTTTAACTTGAAAGAATATTTTGGTTTTAAAAGAGTAGAAACATTTTTGTGGATGGTGGCTATTAGAGTTAAGCGTGTGACATTTTTATTAATGTAAGGGTGAGTAGGTCAGTAGAGTCTGGTCAGATGGAGATGTGAGGAGGTCCCTCTGAGAAGAACGGTTGTGGTCACTGCTGCATCAACATCACATTTCTCACATTGTTCATCCCAACATTGTAACAGCTACAACCACTGAGTATGGCACACTTTGGGTGGAATTTTAACATTTCACTTGGTCTAAGCGGGGTAACCTTGTAACATGCTTTGATCTGGAGATTTCAGCAGCATATTTATCAGTGACTTTGTAATGCAGCTGATGCATCTGCATCTTTTTTCTGGGTTTCCCAACCGATGGCCCACTACAGTATATTTCAACTGAAGTATTTAAAGATACCATACAATGAACAGAGATAAAGCAAGGTTGGCAGAGCTTGATACTGCAGAAATGGAGACATTACCTAGTAAGGCAGCAACAGATTTCATCTGTACTGTACATCTCTGGACAGGCTCAGAAAGCTCATAGTCAGATTCTATAAGTGGAAGAAGGAGGTTTGCCCCTTAAAACAAACATGTATGGCTGCAATTGGTTGAGTAAGTCATTGAGAGTTAAATGGTACCATACCTCTGAATACAACATTGCAAGAGATTCAGGATGGCAAGAGATTCAGTGACCTAATAAGGGCAAGGAAGGAATGCAGCATGCCACAATCAACTTAACTGATGTGTATCTAATCTTAACATCTGTCACTGTTCCTTTCTAGTCGATCACCTGCACCACACCAATGGATCGTGCCATCAGGCCCTTTAATCTCATGTGCTTCAATTTTGAAAGTTCATACGTATATCAAGCACACTATGTGCTTTATCAGGAACTCAAAGGCTTAATTAAACATGATATGCCTTTAATAATTCTACGCTGTCTTTCATTGATTAACCTATATTTTCCAAGTGCCATAATTTTTGTCCCAGATTGCCCATAGTGTTCAGGGATGTGTAGATTAGGTGGGTTATGAGGGATGGGTCTGGGTAGGATGCTCTGAGGGGTGGTGTGGACTTGTTGGGCCGAAGGGCCTGTTTCCACATTGTAGGGATTCTATGAAATTAACGTTTCTAAAAATTTCACCAAGTTAGGCTGATTGACTTATACTTGTCATTTCTGTTGCCTCTCCCTTTTTTTAAACTTTATTTATGTTCGTTAATGAG